AAATTTTGTGAATCCAATTTTGACATCCTCGTATTCAGATTGAAATGTTGCGAATAATTCATTCAGGTTACAGAGAACCATTCTCTTCTGCATTTGAACTTTCTTGCCATCGATTCGTACAGACATCCAGTCTTTCATCCCTGGCATTAGGCGACTCATATCATCTCGCTGATAAAACTGAGTTATTAGAGATTTAGTATCGCACTCCAAAGGTTTTTCCCTTCTTTTTGATTGGGAGTGTGAGAATCCCATGCATCAGCAACCAATTGTTTAGCAATTCTTGCTTTTCGTTGAGACGTTCCAAACTCAGTCATTGTTTTTGCAGAACTCCATGTTCTTGGAGGCAAGCGTGAGAAGTTGAATTCTTTCAGCTTCACCCTGTGACGTTTTGTATTTCTCTTTTATTGTTCAAGAACTTCTACTGCATCCTATGGTATTGGTTTCGACACTCATTCGTTGAATTTGAAATGTTAGAATAACCATCATCATCAACAGTTCTGTCTTCATTCTCGGAATACTTTTGTCTTCATCTGGAATAACTTCAACGCAAGGCTCATTACTATTCAAATTCGGTAATTCGTTTCAACTTTACGAGCTCTTTCCTGCAATGATCCACAAATTTTCAATCGTTTTGACAGCGTAGGGGAATTTTTTTAATAAGCCGTCGGAAATATTTCGCATATCTGATGATCTGTGCTTCATTTTGTTAAAGGGATTAAAACAAAAAGACGAATAAATTTCATTTTCAACCTTAGCCTTTTTAGAAGTCGTAGACATTTGAATTTTGTAAGTATTATGTAAATAACACACGTCTTAACTTTAACGCTGTTTCTAAAGAACTGATTCCGTATGTCCTTCAGAATGACAATAAATAGTTTTTTAAGATCATGTAGGTAGTAGTACGTTTTAATGAATGAGTCTAAAATCTTTTACTAGGGTCAAGAAGGGCTTACATACTAAAGTTTTAACCAAAATGTTACAATAATAATAAAAATAAACCACTATATAAATAACCTACCTGTCAACTTCTACCTCTCCACCCACTTCAAGTCAAATGTCATAAAATAATAAAAATAAACTGGTACTTCGGAGAAGGGCCATAAAATATTTCCACTTGATTCCAAAAATTTGTTTCTGGGGGCACCTGATATTTTTAACAATGAAAATCACGTGCGCTGAAAACTACCTCTAGGATTGACTAAAAAAGCCGCAAGATACAAAACTCAGACAAATTTTGGGGGTGGAAAATTAATAGCGGTCGGCCTCATATTGCACCCCTCCAGTGGCTATTCTCGGTCAGTTGTTGTGGTTTTTATTTTTAAGGTTTAGAAACACTTACACACAAATATGAAAAAATCAATTTAAAAACATTTTTCTTGAGTTACAAAACATTTAATTTGATAGATATCCCACTCGCATCCCACTAAGCGACCAAAAAGGTTTTAAAGGAAAAGACCTAAGCTTTCTTTTTGAAAAAAAAAAAAAACAATTAATAAAAAAGAGTCCATTTTGGAAAAAAAGTCAAAAAGGTTTTTAATTTTTCAAAGAAAAGTAAAAATTGTATTTATTTATTTATTTATTTATTTATATCCATAACAGCTGTAAGCCCAAGGGGCCAAATAGCTGTAGATTAAATTCAAATTTTGACACAAATATATTAATTCTTAAATATTTATAAAAATAATAACTTAATATGTAAAAATTTCACTTAACAATTTACCCCCAATTTTATCTATACAAACACAACTAATTAGAAGGAAGAATGAAGATTAGCAACCCTGAATAAAGAAATTTTAACATCGGAATAAAATATAAGTTTCTTTCAAACTGCCATTTTGAAAATATTTTCAAATTGCGCCACACTATGTGAAAATCTTCTTTCAGTATATGGAATAATTGTGTTCCATATTCTTGCCACTTTCATAATAAAGATCTGTGCATAATAAGAGTAGAATGCACTGGGTAGACTATTGTATTTGACCTTGTTGAACCTCCAAAAATGAATTTATCAGCCAAATATGATGGACAATTATACTTAATGATTTTAAAAAACAATATGATCTGACGGGAGCTTATATAATCCTCAAAATCATATCCTAATAGATCCATTCTATAAGCTGATATATGTTGGCCTATTTGTAGACCAAAAACGTATCTAATCACTCTGTTCAAACATAATTTAAGTCTAGCTAAGTTATCACGAGAAGTGCAACTATACATTTCTAAACCATATAGAAATATAGGAATGCATAATGCAACTCCAACCCGTCTTCTCATCGCAAGTGGTAAATAACAACTCGTATTATATAATCTCCGTAAAGTCCATGAAACCTTTGATATTATAGAATTGATGTGGTGAGAAAAAGTCAATTTATGGTCAATATGGAAGCCGAGCGATTTGTACGTACTCACCGATTCAATACTCTCACCATTTAGGAAAATACCTAGGTGACAGTCCCAATTTCCTGAAAGAACATAACTTTGCATTTATTAGGATTAAGATCAAGGAAATTTTGCCTAGACCAGGTAACAACATTGTCTAATTCAATGTTTAAATTCCTTTCAAATGACTTCAAATTATTAATACGAGAGCTTGCCAGTAACTGAATGTCATCCGCATAAGTGTAACACTTGAACTTGGAAAAAATTGTAAAAATATCGTTTATATATAATAAGAATAGCAAGGGTCCCAAAATGGACCCTTGCGGCACACCCCTGTACAGACTAAGAAGATTGGAGCATTGATTTCCTACTCTAACATATTGAGAGCGGTTACTTAGAAACGAATACAGAAGCTTACTAGACAGCATACTGAAACCAAACTGGTCAATTAATTTTTTAGCTATCAATTCGTGACATAAAGAGTCAAATGCTTTATTTAAATCTAAAAACACTAAAACACTTACTAAATGTTTATCTAAATTTTCTCGAATAGACTCTGTGATACCTAGCATTAAGGTCGATGTATTAAAGCCCTTCCGAAATCCCGATTGAAATGAATTTATAGCACCAAATTCTTCTAAAAATGGTTCCATCTGGTCTTTTAACAGAATTTCAAATATCTTAGAGCAGCAAGATCGAATAGTTATTGGACGAAAGTCCTCTACCGAAATTGGATTTTTTACTTTGGGAACAGGAACAATTCTACCTACTTTCCATTCCAATGGGAAGTAGGATCTAGTAATACAAGAGTTTATAATAAAAGTGAGATGGGTTACTATTTCTGGAAAAATTAATTTTAGGAATTTTAAAGGTATCATATCCGCACCCACTGCATTTGATTTTAACCTTAATAATGCATTTAAAACTTCCGTTTCATTGACATTTCTAAAAGAAAAACCAGTCAAATTATTTGATGTTCGATCAAACGCTATAACTGGACCCTGAACCCTTGGCATTCTTGCATATTCATTAAATGTGTTTGGATCAATTTCCAAGTTATTTTGATTATCCCCTATAGCCCCGACAGATCGCAATCTTTTCCATATTTGCCCTTGATCACAGTTTGAAAAAAAATTTATGTAAAATCGCCTTCTAGTTTTCCGGATGATGGATTTAAGTCTATTTCTTAAGATACAGTAATTTCTAACAGTATTTTCCGATCTATTCTCACGCATTGCACGGAAAGCTAAATCCCTATTTTCCCTAGCAGCTTTTACATCAGGATGATTTATCCAATCGTTGGGATTCCTTTTTTTAAGTTGCCTTAAGGGAATATGGTTATTGTACAACTCATAAACTATGGCATTAAAAAATGATATTTGTACATCGGGCATATAATTCGTATAAATAGGTGAAAAATCCAAAGACCTTAAATCTGATATACAATGATTTAAATTAAAAGATTTGTAATCTCTATAGAAAATGGGTTCGCTTCTTGAATTAATTTCCAGATTTACAGAGATACATATTATTGCATGATTAGAATTTAAAGCGGGAAGTTGAAATTGTCCTTTGTGACTAACTTCTTCAATATTTGAAACCAAGAAATAATCAATAAGCGATGTGCTATGTCTATCATTGCAGTAATGTGTTGGTTGCGAATTATGAACCAAGGAAAGAGAAGAGTGGTTACAAAAATTATAGACTTCTTCTGCCCTTGAAAATAAATCAACATTAAAGTCTCCCATCATAATAACATTACTATACTGGGCTGATATATCACAAAGTTCATTTTCACATACATTAAAGCTGCGATTAGGCAAATAGATAACACCAATTAAAATTGAACAATTATGTCCTACAATTATCTCCACAAAAAGGCTCTCAAATACACTCTCAACCATTCTCTGATAAATTACACGAGATTTGAATTTCTGAGAGATGTATAGACATACTCCACCGCCCCTTCGTATTTCACGATCATTTCTATGAATATTATATCCTGGAATATTAACTGACGTGTCTGTAACATTTCTTGAGTACCATGTTTCAGAGACTCCAATGACATCTATAACACTATCTTGAAAAATATATTTTACTTCATCAAATTTTGAAGATCTTTGATTTGGTACCAGACTTTGAGCATTCAAATGTGCCACTTTTAAACCCGAATCATGAAGAATAGTATTAAACATTCTGTTGTTGCTAATCACAGTCCCTAAATTATCAACCATAATTGTATGGTAAACTTTGTTGTGTTTGTATAGATAATATGTTACGCTATCCACAAAAATAGTAAATAAGAAATAAATTCTGTAATGTATGTAATATGTAGCAATAATGCATTAAGATGTTAGAAACTTTCAGAGAAATACCAAAATTAATTAAAGATTGTTAAAAGTTGAAGATTTCACATTATATTATATAAGTTGGGAACTTATCATAATCTCTGCAATGCAATTATCAATCTCACTAGTAAGATGCATATGAACACTGATTATAACAAGTTATCATAAAATTTTACAATAATTAAATAAAATTCACGTTGACAATAAGTATAAAACATTTTGTAATAACAAAATTAAAATACATTTAAAGCAAAAAAAAATCTACAGCTCCTATTCAGTATGGTTTGTACCATCTTGTTGTTGACCGTTTTGTGATGAGACTGCCTTAAATAAAACATGAAGTTTTTCAATGTTGAACGTTTTTTCACCACCATCATTCAATGTAATTTTAACTTCTGGGACATCTCTATTGTAAAGTTTGAATTTTTTAATTTTTTTAGTTTTCAGCATCTTGCGGCACATGTAATTCAGCTTAGCTGCAATAGGCGTTAGATGTTCATTTAAATAAACCCTTATCTCACTTAGGTTATTGGTATTCATTTGGTCGCCTGTGGAATTTTGTTCGTTTTCACTTCCTTCTGAATTCAACGGCTGCTCATCATTTATGTAAAGTTCATTAAGATAAAGAGATTTTTTTTCAAAGTACTTCTGGATAAGCTGATCCCTTTTGTAGATACTATTGAACTTAACCAACACCTGGGCTTTGCCTTGAATGTAGGTGCACACGTTAATGTCATTGTGTTGCAAATTAACACCAAGAACTTCTCCTATTTTAAAAATTTGTGCATATAGCTTGTCTCTAGTTAAAGCCTTAGATAAACCGTTGACTACAATATCACCTCGGTTTAATTGCCTTCTCAGTGAGTTGTTTTCAATTTCTAGACTGTGTATTTTTGAGTGAAATAGTTCTTCGGTTTCCTTTGATTTTGATAGACTTTTATCCAGATCAGATTTTATTAAATTTAATTGAGACATCACATTAGAAACCATCTGTGTTATGGATTTAATTCCGTTTTCAAGCTCCAATAGTTTTGTAGTATCTGGATTTGCTTCTTTATTTGATGATTGAGTTGAAGAAGATAATGGCATAGAAGAACATGCTTTGCACAAAAATAACAATCCACTTTCCGTTTTTTTAATAGTTCCAACATTTCCGAGTTTAAATTTGAGTTTTCCTGAATAGCACATTTTGGATGATAATGTTGTTTACAAAGACCACACGAAATTTTTCCTCTACTGGTACAATATGTTAAACATACTTTACATTGGGACGACATTTCAATTTCTATTGAATAACTTCTTTTATTTTATTTTGTTTTATTTTAATTTTTTTTTTTTTTTTTTTTGCTTAATTTTTTACTTTTGTTACATTCATTTACTTTTCGTTCTTTTTTACTTTTAATTTATTTATTACTTTTTTTCTTTTCTTTTAGTTTAAAGTTTGTAGGCAGGTAAGATGCAGTTTTTATAAAAACCAAAGCAAAACCAGTATTTTTGCAGTTCACTTTTACTTTACTTGAGAGAACAATATGTAAATTGTTTTTTTTTTTTTTTTGTCTTTCTTATATTTAAGCGAAATACTTTTACTTTTTATTTTAAAGTACATAATTTTTATGAATTTTTCCTTTTTTATTAACTTTGGTTTTTATTAGTGTTTCTAATACATCATTAATACCTTATACTCTAGTTTTATATATTTTTAAACACTTTTTCACATTACAATATACGTTTTTAAATAAGTTTTTGCAGACAGCAATTAAAACACGTCTACTCTCGTGTCAATCTCATAATTAATTTCAAATTACCGCAAATGAGGAGGTTATCCCTAATTTTCCAATCAAGAATCATTCATCAGAATTGTATGTCTTGAGTTACAAAACATTTTTTTATAGATATCCCACTCGCATCCCACTAAGCGACAAAAAGGGTGTTAAAGGAAAACACATAAGCTTTCTTCTGAGCAAAAAAAAAAAATAAAAAATGGGTCCATTTTTTAAAAAAGTCAACAAAGTTTTTGTTTTTGCAAAAAATTAAAAAATTTTAAATCTTGAGTTACAAAATATTTTTTTGATAGATATCCCACTCGCATCCCACTAAGCGACCATATTAGAAATCCCGGAATTCCCAAAAAAGTTTTTAAAAATCCCAAAAATGGGATTTTTGGTTTTTGCCTATTATATCCATACCAGGGGCGGGGTTATCGAAACCCGTTACAAAATGATTAAGAACATATGGCGTCATATAAAACAGGTCACTATAATTTGATATCGACTATGCGATTTGAGAATTTTTGCTCAAAATTGAATTTTCCATAAAAAATAGGGTTTTTTTTTTGGATGGACCTGGTCCCCTCGGTATCAAAAATTGTTGTTAAGCGAATAACAAAAAAATTGCGAAAATCGGGAATATTTGGACCCGCTATTATCAAAAAACTAAAGTAAGGACGGTTTTATAGTGCTCGATGAGGAGATTCTATATACGAAATTTTTTTACTCAAATGAAGAAATAGGATCGTTTTAAAAATTTAACATAGCCGAGGTGTCCTAATTTGAGGACCCCCCGCCGGGCCCCTGGTTGGCTTATAAGGTCCAAATTCAAAACCTGAACTCGACAACATCTCCTCTTTGTGCATACCAAATTTCATCAAAATCGGATTAACCGTTTAGAAGTTACCGAATTATTTCCTTCTTTTTTTTCCTATACCACTGTGCATTATTAAAAGGGTTTTTGTAACGTATATATTTAATAACAAGTAAGAAATTATAGTCGGGCGAGGCCGACCATATAATACCCTACACCTGTTACAAAAAAATGTGATTTAGTTTTCATAATAAAGCTTTTAAGTTGAATTGTACCTTGCCTCAGATATACTTAAGCCATTTATTGTTAAATAAAATTGTGGACATTTAAGTCGAATTTTGAAGATGGCTTTGAAAAGGGGCTATGGTCAAATGAGACCCTACTATTAAAAAATTCATGAGGGTCATCAAGGCTAGTATAGAACTTGGTTTTGCAGCTTTTTGTCGATATACGAGTATATTAAACATAATTATGAACTTAAAATCCCTATTAGTCCGGTTCAGTTTTATGGGGGCTAGGTGAAATAATGGGCCGATGTTAACCATTTTCAACAGGCTTCGTCTCCGTTACCATAGAAGATCGTGTGCAATTATCTTCAAAATTGCGACCTGTAGTTTGATTACAAGGTTTATAAGCCCTATTCGGGGGTTCAGTTGCATGTACCAATTTCAATACCTGTAGTTTGATTACAAGGTTTACAAGCCCTATTCAGGGGTTCAGTTGTATGGGGGCTAGGTGAAATAATGGACCGATCGTAACAATTTTCAACAGGCTTCGTCCCTGGGACAATAGAATATCATGTACCAAATTTCATTGAATTGTCTTGAAAATTGCGACCTGTAGTTTGATTACAAGATTTACATGGACGGACTCAGAAAATGATTCTAAGCCGATTGGCATACTTTAAGGTGGGAATAGGACGAATATTATTGTGCGTTACAGACATCAGCACAAACCCAATATACACCCCCCCCCCCCTCACTAAAGTGGTGTAGGGTATAAAAATAACAGAATGCATTCAATAATGCCTTATACAGGAGCATTAATGAAGCTCACACATAAAGCGCAGACCTAATAAAATATAAAATACATGTGTAGGAGAATTTTATTTATTTAATTATATTGTTCTGATCCCCATGATCAGAATGTAAAAAAATACACTTTTAATTTTTTACACTTCAATATAATTCTTTATTTAATAAAGTAGACTGCTTCTTGCAGAAGATAAAAAACTAGTGATCAATAATTTAAATTTACAAGATCATCAAAACTAAATGATCTGTTTTTCTACCTGCAGTAGATTTACATGTTTGTTTGTATGTACATTTAAATGCGTTGATATACAAATAAATGTACATGCAAATGTACGTATACTTGTACTTGTAAAAAATACCGTTAGGTCTACTTTAATAATTTTGTAAACAAATGTCAAATTAAAAGACAATAAGAAATAAATAAATTCTTTAATTTTTGTGGAGATTTTAAGAATTATTAATAAATTTTAGTTTGGGAAAAATCCCAAACATTCTCCCCCACAAAGAACAGTTGTTCTTAAGTAGAAGTCTTCTCATCTATATGTACATCATTTGAAGGTAAAAAGCAGATTTTTGAAATAGGGCGTTTTATGTACTTCCCGTTGCAGTACGATATCACCAACTTTTATATTTCTTTCGACCTTATTCCATTTTGGTCTAGCTTGAAGACGACATAAATATTCTTTGTTCCAGCGATCCCAGAAATTTTGTTTGAGATGTTCTACTACTTTCCAACGGCTTAAACGGTTAAGATTAGCATCAAGTAAGTCATCATCGGGGATACAATTGGTAGGTTCTCCAATAAGAAAATGTGCTAGTGTGAGTACATCGGCATCTTTCGGATCGGCTGATAAGGGACATAACGGCCTGGAGTTTAGGCAGCTTTCTATTTGTGCCAAGAGGGTACTGAGTTCTTCGTATGTTAGTGTGCGATCTTTCATTATTCGGCGCAAGTGATGTTTCGTGGATTTCACACCAGCTTCCCAGAGTCCGCCAAAGTGGGGTGAAGCAGGCGGAATAAAGTGCCATGTTGTACCTTGATTGGCTAAAGTTTCTGCGAGATGATCAGGAAGTGATGTTTTGTTTCGGTGATACAGAACTTGGAGTTCTTTGTTTGCACCCACGAAATTAGTACCACAGTCCGAGTATAAATCGGTGCATAAGCCTCTACGCGCAGTAAAGCGACGGAATGCTGCCAAGAAAGCATCCACATTTAGACTAGTGACAGCCTCTAAATGTATCGCCTTCGTACGCATGCAGATAAAAAGACAAATGTAGCCCTTGGAAGTAGAAGCTGTTCGTAAAGAAGAAGTTTTTATGTTGATTGGCCGAGCATAATCCAGTCCGCTGTGCTTAAACGCACGAGTGGATTACAGCCGCACAGCTGGTAAGTTACCCATGAGTTGTTGACAGGATTGCGCTTTGTACTTAAAGCATAAAGTACATTCACGTTGTACGCGTTTAGCTATATTTCTAGCGGAAACTATCCAATAGCTACGGGAAACGTAGGACTGCATAAGCTGGAGGCTTCCATGATAAGTTTTTATATGAGCATCTAAAAATATAAGAAAAGACAGTGGATTTTGTTTTGATAACAAAATAGGATGTTTAGTGTTGTAGGGAATAGCAGAGTTTGAAATTCTACCACCAACTCGCAGAGTTCCCTCTTCATCAAGAAACGGCGATAGTTTTGCAATATTACTTTGATTGGGAACCCTATTTCCCAATTTCAGTGTTTTTATTTCATCATGATGTGACACCGCTTGTGTTAGTTTAATGAGCAAATGCATTGCTGCTTTAAGTTCGTAGGTTTTAAGAAATCCAACTTTTCTGTTGATTTGTTTTGATTTTGTGTTGTTGTAAAAACGAAGAATATATGACGTCACACGTATCAGCGAAGATAGCCTTGAAAAGCGTTGTGTTAATTCTGGATAAGTTTCAATTGTAGTTGCTTTTGTTGCGTGAGCAGCTACATTGTTGACTATAATTTCTTCACGAAATAAATTACTGGGGGAAGTAGGCCATGAGTCAGGCGTATTTTGGAGCCATGGTGGGCCATTCCACCATAGGTTATGTTGAATTAATTGTTGGGGCATTAAGCCTCTAGACGCGCAGTCTGCTGGGTTGTATTTTGTTGGAACGTACCTCCAATCTTGAACATTAGATAGGCGTCGAATTTTCGAAACTCGATTTGCGACGTAGACTTCCAACCGTGTTGAGTTATTTTTCAGCCACGCAAGAACTATGGTACTATCAGTCCAGTAAATAACGTCACCAATATTGAAATCTACGCTGGTTTTAATTTTGGCTACTAATTTAGCCATGAGTGTTGCTGCATTTAATTCCAAACGCGGTATTATTTCGCCTTTCAGGACTACTTTAGTTTTTGCTTGGAGCAAGTTTACTAATATCTCACCAGATTCTGTTGCGACCATAGACGACAGCAGCATAGGCTACTTTGGAAGCATCACTGAAAGCATGAAGGTCAATAGTAGACGTATTGTTTTTGCAGCCAATCCATCGTGGAATCTTAATTTCTTCAAGAGCCTTTAATTCGGTGCGAAAATTAACCCATTCACGTTGGATTTCCTCTGGTAGGGTATCCTTCCAATCAAGCTTCAATTTCAATAGTTTTTTTGGAAGATTATTTTCGCTATTATGGTAGTAGCTGAGAGCCAACCTAGAGCGTCAAACAATTTGGATGCCTCTGAAAGCAAACTACTTTTAGTTATTTGTTCAGAAAATGTAAACTTTATAGAAAAATAGAAATAATCATTAATAGTGTTCCAATTGATACCAAGGGCTTTTGACATTTTTGGTTCATAAATAGAAAATGAGTTTTTAACTTCACGATCATCTTCAGGAATGTTCTCCATGAACTCTAAAGAATTAGAATTCCATTTTCTTAAATGAAATCCTCCTGATTTCAAAAGGCTAGAGAGTTGTTTTTGTAAAGCTAGTGCTTCTTCTAGGTTATCCGCACCTGATATCACATCATCAACATAAGTGTCTGTTCGAAGTATTTGACTAGCTTCTGGAAAGTTGTCTTCCTCATCCTCTGCCAGCTGCTGTAGAACTCTAATTACAAGATAAGGAGCATAAGTTGTACCATATGTTACTGTACGAAGTGCATATACACAGATTTTGCATGAGGCATTTCTCCAAAGTATGCATTGATATGGTTTGTGTTCGGGGACACATTTATTTGCCTGAACATTTTTTCCAGGTCTGTTTTCTCCAACGAGTTATTATTGTAGACAAATCGTTTTGCAAAGCTGGACCTGCTGATAACTCTTCATTAATAGAAGTTTGAGGTGGCCTACGGTTTCCACCATCAAAAACAACACGTAATTTTGTTGTTGTACTTGCTTCTCTGAGTACGCCATGATGAGGAAAAAGTACGCATTAATTGGTATAGCTTGAGGGTACTCACCGAGGATAACCATATGATTAAGCGATTCATATTCCACCATGAACCTTTTGTATTGATCAGCAAATTCTGGTTTCTGCTTAAAAATTAATTCTAACTGTTTAAGTCTTTTCATGGCATTGTAGTCCGTGTGGGAAAACGTTGGCAGGTCTTGACCTTGAAGTAACCTTTTGAATGGCAGATTAACACTGTACCGTCCATTTTCATCCCGGAGATGAGTTTCCTTAAACAATTTTTGGCAGAGTTCTTCTTCAGTGGACCATGATTTTTGATCGAGTAATTCCTCTTGTTCCCAAAACATTCTAAGCTGTTCATCTAAAGAACAGATATTGGCATATATTTTATTGCTTGCCATATGGCTACTTGGAGAGCCAGATACCATCCAGCCTAGATGAGTTTCCTGCAGAAGAAGACTATTTTCAAACTTTTTCATCCTAGGTAGGATTAAATCGCCATAGACATCGTTTCCAAGGAGGAGATCAATTTTTTGAGGTATTAGAAAATCAAGATCCGCCAAAAAGAACGTTGAGAGATCTGGAATGCAATCAGAGGTAATTTTCTTGGGAACGTAAGATGTAACTGTAGGAACTACAAGAGCAGTTATAGGCAATTCAAATTGTTGTTCGTATCTCGAATGGATTAAAAATCGTGTAGATTTTTTAACAGTTATTGCTTTGTTTCCTCCAATTCCAGAAACGTCCATTCGAGTTTTGTATTTCGGTACAGCTAATAATTGAGAAAGCTCCTCTGAAATAAATGAAAGTTGTGATCCTTGGTCTACTAGGGCTTTTACGCAATATGTTTTATTTACCGTTTTTATTAAAACTTTTACAGTGGGTAATAAAGCAGGATGGAGATTTTGAGTACTTAAATTGGAAACATTTGTACTTACAGTAGCAGAATTAGGTGTTGATGTAGTAGCAGGAGGCTGGAAAGTTTGATTATCTACTGTGTTGTTCACCACAGGTGGGGTGGTTTGATTAGAATCGGATCGGCAGAATTCGTTATGAAGAATTGTATGAGGAGATTCACGGCAAATGTGGCATCTAGTATTCAATCTACAAGATGATTGTAAATGCCCACTGTTTAGGCAATTTCGACAGAGTCTATGTTGATTTACAAAGTTTTTCTTCTCCGCTGAAGACAATGTTGTAAATCGAAAACATTTGTAAAGAGGATGACGTTTATGGCAGCATGGGCAGTTGTCATTATTTACAGTTGAAACAGTGTGAGCTCGTATCATTCTTGTTGGTTTCTTACGTATTTCCTTACCGTAAATAATTGAAGTTGGGGTAGTTTCCTCTTCAAGAGATTCCATGGTGCGGAAGGTAGTTTCCAGAAAATTAAGCATATCAGACATAGGCGGAATGGAAGTACTAGCCTTAAGCGATTACTCCCATTCTTTACGAGTCTGCATTTCAAGTTTTTGTGTAATTTTGATACACCAGAATTGAATCCCATGTAGAAATATCTATTTTCAGTGATTAAAGCTGCGACAGACAGGTCCGAGTTGTGTCTAGTAGACCCTTTATATTTTTAAAAGTTCCGTCAGAAGGCGGTATTGAAAACAGACGTTTCAAGATTTGTTCAACGAGTTTCCTTTCATTATGAAATCTCTTCTCGAGAGCATCCCATGCTAAATCGTAACTGGATTCTGCTGCCGGATATTCGTTGACCATGCTAAGTGGAGTTCCAGTACATGAAGACTTCAAATAAAAATATTTCTGCACCTTTGTTAGGGAATTGTTCTGATGAACCAGTGTTTTGAACATGTCTCGATACGAAATCCATTCTAGGTAATCCCCGGAAAAAGTAGGCAAATCAATTTTTGGAAACCTTGCTCCAGCGCAGAATGATTCGTTGCGGCCAGTGGCGGCGAAAGTACTTGCGTGGACGGTTGGAGTCTGTGGAGAATCAAATTCATAAAGTAAATATAGAAGATTAATTTTTAGAGCTATGTAAACATCATAGCATTTATAAAAAGTGTTGGTACTTAAATACGGCACATCTTTCTCAGCGATTGAAATTTCGCGTATCATCTCATTTAATTATTCATGTCAATCTTTGAAGGTTTTAAAATTGTATTCCAAATCCTCCAGAATTGTTTGAACATACCCTTTTGATAACGCTTCCTTCGGTTTGGCAGGAAAACACGTAGACACACGTTCGATGTGAGCAAATATTTTCTTCTGGTCTTCTACTGCTTGAAGAGTTGAAGTCATCTTTTCCTGAATTTAGCTCGAAATTCGTGGGGAAATAATAGTACAGCACGTACGTTGTTGATACCATAGGCAAGACGGCAGTATTATATTTAAATCACAAATTATATGGGTATTTGTCAGTATATGGACAGTTCCCGGGTTTCGGCACCATTTAAATGTAGGAGAATTTTATTTATTTAATTATATTATTCTGATCCCCATGATCAGAATGTAAAAAAAATACACTTAATTTTTTACACTTCAATATAATTCTTTATTTAATAAAGTAGACTGCTTCTTGCAGAAGATAAAAAACAAGTGATCAATAATTTAAATTTACAAGATCATCAAAACTAAATGATCTGTTTTTCTACCTGCAGTAGATTTACATGTTTGTTTGTATGTACATTTAAATGCGTTGATATACAAATTAATGTACATGCAAATGTACGTATACTTGTACTTATAAAAAATACCGTTAGGTCTATTTTAATAATTTTGTAAACAAATGACAAATTAAAAGACAATAAGAAATAAATAAATTCTTTAATTTTTGTGGAGATTTTAAGTAGGGTTTTCAGTTCAGAATTATTAATAAATTTTAGTTTGGGAAAAATTCCAAACAACATGATATAAGTGCAACTAGTTGCTATTAAATAAACGCTTTTTGGATTTAAAACCTATTGCTTCTAAGTGGCTCATCTCAAACAAAAATCATGTACTTCTCAGCAAAAATAATACGAAGTAATTACAAAAGAATAACATTTATCACCACTTCAAAAGTAGCACTAATTGACTTTTTTTACCTTCTGCGGAAGTGATGTTTAAAGAAGCGAAAATAATTCTAATTTTTAATGTTGAAGATATATTTATACCCTACACCACTTTAGTGGGGAGGGTATATTGGGTTTGTGCTGATGTTTGTAACATACAACAAGTTAGAGTGCTATATTCGGCTGTGCCGAATCTTAAATACACTCCACCAGCAAGCTATTTTTAATTAAAACCCATTTAACTATCTAATTTTTAGATAACTTGGCAAAATTGTTGTTTCCGTATTGATATGCATATGTCAATCTAATTTTAATTAAGTCCAGAAAATTTTTCGAAAACATTTTATCCGGTTATAATCATTTAATAACGAATTAAGTGGTATTAAGTGATTTTCAAAAGTAAACCTTATATGGGAGCTAAGACAACTTATGGACCGATCCGGAAAAAAATTCCGTATAATGATTTATATGCTCACAAAAAAAATTCAAGTCGTACTTTATCCCGATAGCTTTATTATTCAAAGAAATATATGCGTTTAAGTGATTTTCCTAAGTGGTCCTTATATGGGAACCTATCCGGAAAAAATTTCGTAGAGTGATTCATATATGTCGGATTTTATCATGATAACTTTATTTGACAATGAAATATGTGCATTTAAGTGATTTTCGGAAGTGGACCTTATATGGGAGCT